CACAATGGACTCCCCCGTCGAATCCACGTTAAAAGAAGCGCAGAACTGTCCGCAAACAGGCGGAACAGCTTACGTGTGTTTCGCAAACTCGGCGAACAAAATACTTCTGGGGTAGGTAAATCAATGCTGCAGTTCTTCCCCTACTCGAGAAGTAGCTCCCATGAAACCAAGTCGGCGGCGGAGGGCTCCCGAGCCCGGGCCAGCCAAGGCGGGGGCAGCGGGGTCGGCTTCGAGGTGGCGCCCAAGCCCAGGTCAGCCGGAGGACCTCGGAGGAGACTGGCGGACCCCTGTTGGCCCTCAGGTCTGAGGGTGGCAAAAAACTGCCAACGTCGTACAAAATCACTACCAGAATCCCTCGACACAATCTTCCTGCTGCACTTTTCGAGCGGGACGGATCTGTGACGGGGCCCGAAGCCGGGCGAAAACGCCCAGTGTGAAAAAATTGCAACGCCCGGATCAGAGGGAGCGCTGAACCCCTGTCACAGAAGGCCTCCCAAATGGGGTCCGAGAAGATGGGGTCGGAGGATCGCGCCGAAGTCGCCGATGTATCGGCGATGCATCCCCGATGCGTCATCGACGTCGGCGATGCATCGGCGCCGTCGGCGTGGAAAAAAACGGGCTCCACATCGAGCCGCATCGAAGATGCATCGCCTATGAATCAGCGATGCATCGGCTATGCAGCGCAATCATCCGACCCCGTCTACTCGGACCCAATCTGGAAGGCCTTTGATGAAGGCACTGCATAAGGAACCCTTGGAAAAGGAATCCGGGGTCAGGAAGCTGGTGGGAGGCCGGTTGAGGCTTGGCCATGGCATCCTCCAGGGTCTGGAGCCTCCCAGGCACATTCCTCCACCAGCGCCCCCACCGTGGAGCTGGGTGAGCCCCTGGGGGGCAACGATAGGGTGTGACTGGCACAGGGGGGGATGCATCGATCTGGAACCGGCGATACATCGCCGATAGATCGGCGATAGGCCCCCGATTGTGAATCCGCACCTTTCTGGGCAGGTTGGGGCTATCAGGCCCCTGTCGGCGATCAATGGGCGATTGGGGGTCGGTGCGCCCCCCCCTGTGCCTATCCCCCCCTATCGTTGCCCCCGAGCCCCGACTGTGAGAAGGGAGCGCCTCGACCCGGGCGGCCCGAGCGCGCCTCCGCAGCCGCCCGCGGGCTCGCCGCACCGCGGCGGGGCGGAGCACGAGCGCGGCCGCCCCGCCGTCCGCTGGGCCCAGAGAGAGGGGGGCTCTCGGTCGGCTTCTCAGTTTCTCGCTGCAGCTCCTCCTCCTGCCCGACATGCTCGCGTCGTGCAAAACGCACGACGACGGGCTTTGAGCCGTTTTCGGCCCCTGGGGCCCACCACGGGCGCCAAGACCGATCAAAAACGGCCCAGGACGAAAAAGCGGCTCCCGGAAAGGCGTCGGGACTTCCGGGGACCCCTGACTCAACAAATCCGGACATCGCAGCTCTGGGTCCTTTCGTCGGCTTCTCGGCTCCCCTCCTCGTCCTCCTCGCTTCTCTTGCGTTCCCCGCTTCTTGTCTCTGGCGGCTGCCCCGCTCCCTCGGACGAGGCCAGCACGGCCCTGGGCGTGGACTGTTTTCCCCAGGGCCGTAGGCGACCCGAGGAGGGGAGGGCGAGGAGGGGGAGGAGGAGGAGGAGGAGGAGGAGGAGGAGGAGGAGGAGGAGGAGGAGGAGGAGGAGGAGGAGGAGGAGGAGGTGGTGGTGGTGGTGGTGGTGGAGGAGGGGGAGGGGGAGGGCGCTCTCGCGCAGCAGCGCCCGCGGACTTCAAAAAGAGTGGTCACCAACGGGCGATCGCGCTCCACTTCGGGCCCTGGGCCATCGCAGATCGATCGGGCTCGACGGTCGAGGATCGAGGGCGGAGGATCGACGCCCTCGGTCGTTCTTGGCCCTCCTCGGGCCTCCAGAGACCGCACCAAAAGACCTACAGGGGACCTCTGGAGACCCTCGCTGGGGACCTTCATCAATCTCTGGCACCTGGCACTTGCATTTGTTTCACACCGGGCGTTTGCGCCCTGTTTCGGGCTTTGGGACCATCACATATCGCAATGGTTATGAGGGCCTGCTCCTCCTAATCACTCGCCCCCTCCTTACCTACTACTACTACTACTACTACTACTACTACTACTACTACTACTACGACTATGACTACGACTACGACTACGCACCACCACCACCATCACCACCACCACCACCACCACTACCACCACCACCACCACCACGACAACCACGCACACACGCACGCACGCACGCACGTGCACCACCACCCACTACGCACGCGCGCGCGGAGCCACAGGTCCGCTACGACACGCGTCCGCGGATAGAGAAAATCAGCGCCATGGTAAGGGATGGGAGGGAGGGGTAGGACGTCAGATATGACGCGAGCGCACCTAGCTTGTCACTCGCCCCCTCCTTACTACTACTTACTACTACGACTACGACTACGACTACGACTACGACTTACGACTACGACTACGACTACGACTACG